GCATGGCCGGGGCGGGGTCGGGGCTGCAAGTGGGCGGGGCCGTAGGTGGCATCGGGGCCGAAGTGGGCGACGGGGCCGCAAGGGTGGGCGGGGCCGCAGGTGGCGACGGGGCCTCAGGTGGCGGGGTCGCAGGTGGCGACGGGGCCGGGGCCACAGGTTTAGGAGACGGGGCCGGGGCCGCAGGTAGGCGACGGGGCCGGGGCTGCAAGGTAGGCGACAGGGCCGCAACTGAGGGCGGCGGGGCCGCGGGTGAGGGCGGCCGGGCCGCGGCTGAGGGCGGCGGGGCCGCAGGTGAAGGCGGCGGGGCCGCAACGGAGGGCGGCGGAGCCGCAAATGAGGGCGGCGAGGCCGCAGGTGAGGGCGGCTACGGGGCTGCAGCTGAGGGCGGCGTCGGGGCCGTAGGGGAGAGCGGCGACGGGCCGCAGGTGAGGGCGGCGACGGGGCCGCAGCTGAGGGCGGCGACGGGCCGCAGGTGAGAGCGGCGACGGGGCCGCAGCGGAGGGCGGCAACGGGGCCGCAACAGAGGGCGGCGGGGCTGCAACAGAGGGCGGCGGGGCCGCAAGTGAGGGCGGCGGGGCCGCAATTGAGGGCGGCGACGGGCCGCAGGTGAGGGCGGCGACGAGGCCGCAGGTGAGGGCGGCGACGGGCCGCGAAGGGGGGCCGCGAGAGGCCACTAAGGGTCTCGCGAGGGGCACACCACGTGGCGTGTAGTACACAGAGTAGCAGCGGAAGCAACAGGTCAGGAACGTAACACGCTCCGATACCATGTGAAAGTTCTTAGCTCGGCTAAGGAGCCATAGCTAGTAGGTCGAGTGAGTTGAGTTCGAGTGTGAGAGAAATGTCGAGAGGAATGTTGAATAATAGCAAAGAGATACAACATATAGTCAAGAAACTAGAGGTGCACCACCAAACAGAAGACAAGATAAATACACTACACCTAAACCACAAGCAGTTACATAAAATAACATTGACACGCGGCTCCCCTGCCCCGCACCTGCTGCTCGTGCGCCAGTGAAAGGGGGGGGGGGGGGGGGGGGGGGGGTGTGGGGCTGGCGCGTGGGTGACACAGCTCCTGCCGCCGTTGTTTCCCTTTTCCTCCCTCTCACTGCTGCTCGCGCACCTGTGGGGGGAGGGGGAGTGTGAGGGGTGGCGAGAGAGATTATGCATAGCCAGCAGCCACCCCTCCTCTCTCTCTCACTGCCGCTCGTGCTGCTGTGGGGGGGAGGGTAAGAGAGGGTGACGGAAGACCGTCCAGCCCTCAAATGGTATATGTGAGTAATATGTATGAAACAAAAACGGTGCGTACACGTATTAAATGCAATGATGCATGATTGTGAAATTGTATAGATTGCGTAAATATTAATAGAAATATGACGAAGTGCTAAAAAATAATTTGAACACACTTTGTTAAATGGGTCAAATGGATATAGAAAGCAAAGCATAGCACAAATAAAAAAAAGTGAACATGGAAAAAAAGAAAAAGAAAAACAATATCACTACATGAACATGATGGTTTATTACAACAATATTACACAAGAGCATTATAAGATAGCTCAACGAGAAGGGCAAGCAAAAAAAAAAAAAGGAAACGTACATCTACTAACTACACATGATGTGCAAAAGACACTCACCTAAATTGATTGGAGATCCCGCATTTTATGGAGCAAATGTTATATGTCGCCAAGGTGTGAGAGGCTTCATATCCACCCACATCAACAGTTCCATAATCATCCCCTTGATATCCATTAAAAACAAACATTTGCGTGAAACTTGGCCGCCATGTGCCTTTCGATGTCGTGCGGCCGAGCACCAACGACCATCGCACATACCATGAAATTTAATAATTTTATGCCATTTGTCATAAGGACCATCAATTTGGTGAAACTGGCAACACAAGGATGCTGCTCCAAGAAGAAGAAAACACACTTGTCACATGAAGTGCGTACAAAAGATTATGGGTGGAAACAAAAAATGGGTGTGCTCATGATATGTATATATGTAGAAAGAGAGAAAGTGTGTGTGTATCACAAGACAGGAATGTAGAAGGGGGATTGTTTAATGTAGGATGCAAATATATTAAAGAAGGATGGAATGGTATCAGGTGAACACCAAACATGTTCGCCCGAACCATCCTGAACATGTCAATCGCGAAACGAGCATGTTCTGTTTGCCCGAACATTTTTGTAGGATTTTAGTGTTCGGTGATCGTCCTTGAAGGGGAAGAGCATATAGACGGTTCGCGAACCTTTATATGTTCGGGAGAACCCAAACATGCTCGGTTTCGAAATCGGTTTCGCCCTCATTATAGTCACATTCAGGGCAGGTGTACATTTCAACTGCCAAGTTTCAGCCAATAGGTACAAGAATCCCCCACACTCATTGCTCACGGGGAACACGGGGGGGAAAGGGTTGGGGAGTGGGAAAACAACAAATATGCAAACAATACTTTCAGAATTTCTGTAAACCGAAATATCGCCGAGCATGCATTGCATGCAAGCAACTACAAAACAAGAGTTTCTAGCTAAACAATGTCAAAGCCTGAGGCAATGTAACACCATCTCAAATAGGGCAAATAGCAAGTGCTCTAGAACTGGATCAGCCCCTAGCCTGCCACGCCCCCTCCCTCCCCTATGGCATCTCCTGCATCATCCAAAACTAGTCTAACTACCTTATATGTCAAATGTTCTGTCTGCTACAGTTTGTTTAGGCTGTAGTGGGGTAGTTACTACGGGGTACAGTAAGTTTAGGGTTTCCTACTAGTACCCAACTCTTTCCTAGTGCAATCACTCTTGTTGATTCTGACATGGTATCACGAGCCTAGGTTGCCACCTAGGACCGCTTACTACTACGGGCCCACTATTCCACTAGAAGCGCCCTCGTGCGCCCTACCTTACGTGCGCCCTTTTTTCTGCTAGTGCGCCCTCACGCGCCCCGCCCTTCGTTCTGCCTACGCGCCGTCCTGCAGCCCTCGCGCTGCCTCCTGCTGCCCTAGGCCAGTGCGCCGCCCCTACAAGCTAGTACGGCCATCGAGCCGCCCCTGCAGGTCCGTCACGCCCCCAAGCCACCTCTGCAGGCCCGTCAGGTACACGAGCCGCCTCTGCAGGCCCGTCAGGCCCGAGAGCCGCCCTTGCAGGCCCGCCAGGTCGGCGCGCTGCCCCTGTAGGACCACGCCGCCCGCGCGCAGCTTCCGCCCGACCGCGCGCCGCCCCTGTAGGCCCGTGCCGCCCGCACGCAGCCTTTGCAGGCCCGTCAGGCCAGCGCGCGACCCCGTATGGTCGCACTCGCGGCCCCGTAAGGCCGCAGACGCAGCCTCGTCAGGCCGCATTCGCGGCCCCGCCCTGCCGTCGACGCGGACGCGGCCCCGCCCTGCCATGACGCGGCCCCGCCAGCCCTGCAGCTGACGCGGCCGCGTCCTCCTACTGACGCGGCGTCAGCCTGCCCGCCGCATCGCCCCTGCCCGCGGCGTCGCCACTGCCCGCCGCGTCGCCCTGCCCTCCGCGTCGCCCCTGCCCGCGGCGTCGTCCCTGCCCGCCGCATCGCCCTGCCCGCGGCGTCGCCCCTGCCCGCCGCATCGCCTTGCCCTACCCCGCGATGGGCCCCTGGAGCAGCCGCCCCTGGAGCAATCGCCACTGCAGCAGCCGCCCCTGGCCCCTGGAGCAGTCGCTCCTGCACCAGCCGCCCCTGGCCACTGGAGCAGCCTCCACTGCAAGAGCCGCCCCTAGCCCTTGGAGCAGGCGCCTCTGGAGCAGCCGCCCTTGCAGTAGCGACCGTCGCGGCCCTGTCCCTGTCCTGCACCAGCCGCCATTGCGGCCCGGTCCCGCCCTGCAGCAACTGCCGCGGAGCTTCCTGCCGCGGTCGCGGCCCCGCCCTGCCGTTGTAGCGGCCCCGCAGTCGCCTCCGTCGTACGCATGCCCTTCCCACCACTGGTGAGCATTGCCCTGCCCGTGCTACTACTGCTGTTACTGCTGCTGCTACTGCTAGTGCTGCTCCTGCTGCTCTTGCTTCTACTACTGCTCTTGGCCTGGCCAGATGCAAATCGAGGGCCGTCCGCGTGTGTCCCTCACGCCCCAGCAGCTTCGTGAGTGGTACGCCAGTTGGGGTTGTCGGGGTGGCAGTAGTGGGCGTCGTCCTGGAGTGGGTAGTTCGGGAGCTCCTTGTAGTGGCCTTATGCAGCAGCAACTTCGTCCGCGCGAGACTCTTTCGCCCCAGCAGCTTCGTGAGTGGCACACTTAGAGTACTTGGTCGCTGAGTTCTGCTCGCTGCCCGTGCGTTATTAGCATGGGTGTCCGGACTGGTCAGCCTTGCGGGATGCATGGACACAGGGAGTCTGTCACCTGTGTGTGCAGTCTGACCGCGGTATCCAATCTGCTGCTCGAGGTGCCGGTAAGGCTTCCGCTCTAGGTGCTAGTGCGTCTGCTGCCCCTGGTCCTGGTGAGGCTGCTGCCCTAGGTGCAGGTGTTTCTGCTGCTTTAGGTGCTTGTGAGTCTGCGCCTTTAGGTACTGAGGCACTGCACACCTTCACACTGGACTCAAGTGCTTAGTGCAATTTCTTTCGCGACCGCATTGCCCTCGAGCAGCTCCCTAGGCCGGTTGCTATCTCTCTGGCTGACCCCTCCGGGGGTCCGGTCCTTGCAACCTTCACCACTGCCCTCCCTTGTCCTGCTGTCCCGTCCGGCACACTGTCGGGCCTTTACCTCCCCTCGTTCTCTACAAACTTGGTGGCAGGTTCCGCGCTCCAGGATGCAGGTGTTCACCAGTTCACCCCTGCCTACGAGCGTGCGACACACGGCACGTGTGCCCAGACGGGTCGTCACCTGGCTACCTTCACTCGGCAACCAGGGTCGGACTTGTACACACTGACCACAAAGTCCCCTCAGGTAGCGGCGTCTGCGTCTGCGTCAGGTCCGTTGTCTGCCCCCTGCTCGTGTTGCACCCTGTGGCACCGGACGGTCCTCTGGCACCACCGCCTTGGGCACCCTTCGATGCAGCGCCTTTGTGGCATGCACTCTCGTTTCCTTGTCTTTGGTCTCCCCAGGTCACTGCCTTCCCTGCCACCGTCCCCTGCCCCTCCTTGCCTTCCATGTATCAAGGGGCAGCAGCGTGCCACTCCTCACTCCTCTGAGTTCCCCCCGACGGAGGCTCCTCTGTAGACCCTTCACATGGATGTGTGAGGCCCAGCCCACGTCCGTGGACAGGGCGGAGAGTGCTACTTCCTGCTGGTAGTTGACGACTACACGCGTTACACCATGGTCTTCCCCTTACGCACCAAGGTAGAGGTCCCTGCAGTCTTGATCCCTTGGATCCGCGCTACTTGTCTCCAGCTGGAGAGGCGCTTCCGCACGGACCTTCCTGTCCTGCGACTATACTCTGACAGAGGTGGTGAGTTTTCCTCCGGCCTCTTGGAGGCCTTCTGTCAAGGGGAGGGCATTGAGCAGACGTTCATGCTTCCGGCCTCTCCTCAGCAGAATGGGATTGTTGAGCGCCACATTGGCTTGGTCATGGAGGTTGCTCGTACCTCCTTGATCCACGCGGCTGCCCCCCATTTTCTGTGGCCGTTTGCGGTCCGGTACGCCACGCATCAGCTCAACCTCTGGCCCTGTGTCTCCGTTACGGAGACCTCGCCAACACTCCGTTGGACGGGAGCGGTTGGCGATGCGTCTGTGCTCCGTGTCTGGAGATCTTGTGCCTTTGTTCGCGATACATCCGCGGACAAGCTCTCCTCCCGTGCCGTTCCTTGTGTCTTCCTGGGCTTTGTCCCTGATGCGCCTGGCTGGCAGTTTTACCACCCCACCTCGCGCCGTGTCTTCCCCTCTCAGGACGTCACGTTTGACGAGTCGGTCCCCTTTTTCCGTTTCTTCCCCTAACGCACTGCCCCGCTCCTCCCTCCGCCGCTCTTCCTCACGCCAGGTGCTGCTTTGGTAGACCCCCTGCCTCCGCAGGGTCCTGCTCCCTCAGGTGTTTCCCAGGTAGACCCGGTCGAGCCTGTCAAGGTAGCTGTCGAATCTAATCCTGCGCGAGGTACTGAGCGTGCAGAGCCTGAGCATGCTGAGCCTGAACGTGCTGAGCCTGAGCGTGCTGAGCCTGGTGGTGCTGGGTCTGGGGGTACTTCGACTGGGGGTGCTGAGCCTAGGGGTGTGGAGACTGGGGGTGATGAGACTGGGGGTGATGAGCTTGGGGGTTCGGAAACTGCGGGTGCTGAGCCTGGGGGTGCTGAGACTTGGGGTGCTGTCCCTGGGGGTGCTGAGTCTAGAGGTCTTGAGCCTAGGGGTGCTGCGCCTGGGGGCGTTGTCTCTTCCCAGCAGCTGCGTGAGTGGTACTCTCGGTACTGTCGCCGCGGCCGTGGTGCTGTGGGAGCTGGAGGTGCTACTGGAGCTGGAGCTGAGGGCGCTGAGCCTACTGGAGTTGGTGTTGCTGCTGACCCTAGGGTTGGCGCTGGAGGTGCTGGAGCCACTGGTCCTGGAGGTGCTTGTACTGACGGTACCGGAGCTGCTGGGACTGGGGGTGCTACTAGAGCTGCTGGAGCTGGTCCTGCTGGAGGTGCTGCTGGTGCTGCTAGAGGTATTGGAGATACTGGAGCTGCTGATGGTGCTATTAATACTGGGGCTGGTGCTGCTGGAGGTATTGGTGCTGCTGGAGGTGCTGCTGGTGCTGGTCCTGCTGGAGGTGCTACTGGAGCCGCTGGTGGTGCTGAGGGAGTCGGAGCTACTGCTGGAGGTTCTGGTGCGGTCTTTGCTAGTTTTGGGGGCACTTCACGGCCACAGCCGTACTTCGTTCCCCTCCTTCAGCAGGTTCTTGGTCAGCCGCCTCCTCCTTGTCCTGCTCCCTCCTTAGAGTGTCCTCCGCCTGTCCAGTCGCTGTCACAGCTACTGCCTGCCTCGCCACTCCCTGGACCTTCTCCCTACACTGGTCCGAGAGGTGGTCTTACGCAGCGTCGGGAGCCTGAGTCTCGTACTGTGTCGCCTGAGTCTCGGTCTGCGTCACCTGTTCGTGCTGCTCGCACTGGTCGTCGTGTCCCGTGTCAGCGTCCTCTTGCTGTCCCAGGCACTCACCAGATGGCGCTTCGTCCTTCTACTGCTCCATAGCGTGTCCTGCTGCCTTCTCCTCCTGCGTCCTCTCTTCCTGCCCTTGCTGACCTGGAGTCTGACTCTCTTCGTGCTGCTAGTCCTACTGTCACGTGTCTCCTAGCCACTGCTGTCACTGACCCTTCCTTTGAGTCAGCCGCTGCGTCTGCCTTGGTTTCTGAGCTTGTCAACGTTGCTCGAGGCTTGAGTCAGTGAGAGGGAGTTGACTTCTTCCAGACCTTCTCCCCCATCCAGAAGATGACCACTCTTTAGGTGCTACTGCACGTTGCCGCTCAGCTTGACTACGAGCTTCACTCTCTTGACTTCTGCACAGCTTTCTTGCAAGGCAACCTGCACGAGGAGATCTGGCTGCGCCGCCCTCCTGGCTTGACTGGGTCGTTCCCTCCTGGTACCCAATGGAGCCTCCAGCGGCTGGTCTACGGTCTTCGCAAGGCGCCACGTGAGTGGCACGACACACTGAGGACTACACTTGCGGCTCTTGGGTTCGCGCCTTCTACTACTGACCTGTCGTTGTTTCTACGCACCGACACTTTGCTGCAGCCGTTCTACATCCTCGTGTACGTCGACGACTTGGTCTTTGCCACTGCTAACACTGAGGCTCTCGCCTTGATGAAGTCGGAGCTGCAGAAGAGACACACCTGCACATACCTGGGTGAACTACGCAGCTCCCTTGGCTTGTAGATCACCCGGGACAGAGCACGCCGCACCATCACACTAACTCAGTCACACATGGTGCAGCTGTCAAACACTATCCTGTGTCATTATTGTGTAGGCTATAGTGGGTTAGCCTTTAGGGGGTACACAAAGTTAGGGTTTCCTACTTGTACTCCAACTTTCATAGTGCAATCACTTCTTCTTCATAACATGGAATCCGAGCAGGTCCTCCACTAGGACCGATTCCTAGGGCCCACCACTACAACTACCTACTAGCGCCCTCGTGCGCCCTACTGTCGGAGCGCCCTCGAGCGCCTCCCCCCCTAGCGCCCTCGTGCGCCTCGTTTTCATGGCCCCCTAAGGCCCCGCGACCCGCCTCCCTCTTAGCAACCCGCGCGGCGCCCCTTAGAGGCCCTCTCGACCCCACGAGCCGCCCCTTAGCAGCCCCGCTGGCCCCGTTGACCCCACGCGACGCCCCCCTTAGAGGCCCCAGCCGGCCCCATCGACCCCACGAGCCGCCCCTTAGCGGCCCGGCTGGCCCCGTCAACCCCACGCGTGACCCTCTCTTAGCGGCCCCGTCGGCCCCCTCTCGACCCGCGCGCCGCTCCTTTGTACCCCGCCGCAACACCCACGAGCCGCCCAGCCCAAACTGAGCCGCCCGAACCGAGCCGCTCAGCCCGAGCCGAGCCGCGCCGCCCGAACCCAGCCGAGCCGCCCTACCCGAGCCGAGCCGCCCTACCTTAACCGAGCCGCGCCGCCCGTACTGGACCGAGCCGCCGTGCCTAAGTCGTCGTGCCTACTGTTTTTACGGTGCAACTACTGCTACTCTACTGCTGCTATGGCTATCCCTCCTGTGCTAGCTTTCGATGCTTAGGGCCGCCCAGTGAAGTTCGATTCCTGGCTAGATGACCTACACCTCTTCCTACAGCTCACTATCAAGGAGGACATCTCACTGTACGATCACGCCCTAGGCCATGCTACTGCTCCTCCTGCTACTGCAGAGAGCACTACCCGCTCACAGTGGGAGACTCGTGACGCCCACGCTCGCTTCGCTATTCGCAACTCCCTGCCGATAGACGAGCGCGAGCACTTTGGCCAGCACAAGACTGCACAGGCACTGTACACCGCTGTCGTTGCCGCACTAGGCCGTCTATCACTCCCCTACCTGTTTCCTGACCTAGCCTCGTTCCACACAGTCGCTGACCTCATCACGCACCTCCGTACTAGTGAGGCCCGCTTCCGTGCCGCCATGCCCGATGAGTTTCTTGCCAAGAACCCTCCCCCGCTCTGGCTCACTCTGTACCACCTAGTCACCCGCCTCCCTGACACACTGCGTGCTATCAGGGACCACTTCCTAGCTCGCTGCCCCACTGAGCTCACCATTGCCCTCCTCGAGAAGGAACTGCTTGCAGCTGAGGCTAGCATAGTCGCTGTAGGTGCCTCTCGTGGCGACCCCCGCACCCCTTTCTTTGAGGGGTGTTCCCCTTCCCCCCTTCTTCCCTCTGTAGCCTCTGCTTCTGTTGTCGACCTCCCTGGTTCTAAGAAGGTCGAGGCTACGTCTGCCTCGAGCGAGCGTCGCAGCGGCAAGGGCAAAGGGGGCAAGGGAGGTGGAGGTGACGGCGGGGGAGGCGGTGGTGGGGTGGTGGCGGCGGTGGGGGTGGTGGTGGGACTGGTGGGGCTAGTGGCAGCGGTGGGGGTGGTGGCGGCAACTGCGGGGGCGGTGGCAGCGGCGGGGGTGGTGGTGGGGGCGGTGGTGGACGCGGCGGCGGCAGGGGAGGAGGTGGTCGAGGAGGTGGTGGCGGCAATGGTAGTCGTGGAGGCACTGGCGGTGGCCAGAGCCTAAAGCAATCTCCGTCGCCCCAGGAGCTCCGTGAGTGGTACGCTCAGCACCGGGGGGGTGGTGGCCTTAGCTGCACGTACGTCATCCGCACTGGTGACCGCACTGGTCAGACGTGTGGGAGGGCGCACCCCACGCAGCGGTGCTTCTCACGCCTCGACAACGCTTGGTGTACTCAGTTCCCTGACGCCACTGAGCTGCCTCGCTGGGTTGATCTGATGAAGCAAAACATTGATATCTTTGCTCTAGACTTTGATGCTATTCTCTCTGCCATGTATGTGATGTCTATTAGTGGAGAGGGTGCCCAGTACCTGCGTGTTCCGCCCGACCCACGCATTCGACCCGGTGAGGCTACCGCTCTAGGTGCTAGAGTGTCTGCTACCTCAGGTGCTGGTGAGGCTGCTGCTCTAGGTGCTTGTGCGTCTGCATCCCCTGTTACTGAGTCGACTGAGGCACTGCACACCTTTACACTAGACTCAGGTGCCTCCCGCTGTTTCTTTCGTCACCGCACGGCTCTTGAGCTGCTTGCTCGGCCCGTTGCAGTCTCTCTCGCTGACCCCTCTAGGGGTCCAGTCCTTACGACCTCCTTCACTGTCCTCCCCTGCCCGGTCGTCCCGTCGGGCACACTGTCCGGTCTCTACCTCCCCTCGTTCTCTACGAACTTGGTGGCAAATAGTGCGCTCCAAGACAGGGGTGTCCACCAGTTCACCCCTGCCTACGAGCGCGTAACACACTGCACGTGTGCTCGGACGGGCCGTCACCTTGCGACCTTCACACGGCAGCCGGGGCCGGACCTGTACACACTGACCACTGAGTCCCCTCAGGTAGCTGCGTCTGCGTTTGCGTCAGGTCAGCTATCGCCCCCCTGCTCGTGCCGCTCTCTGGGGCACGAGACGGTCCTCTGGCACCACCGACTTGGTCACCCGTCCGTGCAGCGCCTTCGGGCAATACAGAAACGATACCTTGTCTCTGGTCTTCCGAGGGTTCTCCTGTCAACGGGAGTTGTGTGTTGGCCCCGTCCACGCTTGGGCGGAGCCGACATTATGGTCGGGTGTTAGGGGAGCAGCCGACCTGCAGCAGTGGGCGAGTTGGTTGACGAGGAGGTCGACCTGCACGGGGACCACTGCACGGGCGCCGACTTCAGGGTGGCGCCAACTTTGGGGAGGTCAACTTAGGCGTCAACCTGCGGAAAACATCAACTTGGGGAAGGCAACCTCGGTGGTCGGCTGATGGACTGCTGGTCGACCTGCGGGTGGTCGACTGGACCTAGTGGTCGGCGAAGGAGGGGCCG